TAACTGTGGTCTTTTCAATAATTGGTAGACTGAGAATATGTTTCTGAGCGCTGTGCTTTGTGTATATCATTAGGCCTACAATCAATGTATCCAGTAGAATTTCGAAAACACTCCCACACATTGGATTGGAAAAGGTCCAAAAGGCAGTGAAGAATGTACATCAATATAAATCTTATTTTCCAGTACAGTATATACATGGAGGTATACCTCTATGGTATATACATGTAGTACATATATTCGTTGGCGGATCCAGGATTTATTATGGTAGCGAGGGATTAGGAGAGAATTTTAGAGATGTGCGAGTCTACAGGTGGGCTACACTACAGTAAGTGCAGCACGACTGCAGCCCACAAAATTAAAACCCTATTAAAACTGCACATAAATTCAAGTAATTTTGCATCAGTTTGGCATCCTCTCATTCTTCTCTGTTCCAACTCCCATTATGGTTGGTTCTAAGTAATTAATTTTCTTTTGTTTCCCCTTTTAATATTTTTGAATGGAACAAAAATCAATATCACTACTAGGCCCTATGATAGGGGACTATACCACCAGTACATACTCCACAAAGGCTTTTTTCATGACAATTTCTCAAGGATAGCCTTAAAGAAAAGAGTAAAAGGTCTGCAGACACAATGCTAGGACCTATTGTACTTCAGTAGGGTTATCGAATCGACTGTCTGTGCTGTGCCCAACTCATACGGTATGCCATGAAATAATTATACAGTATTTCTATCTACAACATTCTACCGTGCGAATAAGAGTTTTTTCGACAATTCGCACGGTACCGTGCAAATAAGCTCTTATGAGTCTTATAACGGCTGTCATACCTTGCGAATAAGTTCTTATTCCTAATTGACACGGTACCATGCGAATAACCCCTTCCATATAAAATTGATTATGAGATTGAAAAATATTAATCTTATTACATAGTAGTAGTGACACTATGTCCACATTTTAACTATTGTTATTTATTCGTTAACTTTATTATATATTATTTATATTTAAATTTAATGTATTGTTTAAGTATGAATTACTACGTCCATGTTAAATTAATCTATTAAAATTGTATATTTAAATAATATAGTATAGGCATATGTGAGGCCTAAACCTAGTGACTATGTGTGTAGTGTATAAAAGTATGAATAAAACACAAATTGTGAAAGAATAAAGGAAGAATAGGAAAGAGATTTGGAGTTGCTGAAATATTTTCCAAAAATATACAATAGCAGTCAATATGCAGCATTATTGCATTACGTTTTTGTAAACAATTTTGGGCACTAATCATCAGAGGTCTCGGTGCCACAGCCTACTTTACATAATTCGACATCTAGTATATTTGGTTAAATCAATCAATCAATTATTCTCTCTTTTACAAACTTCCATAGAAATCTGCTTAGTGATACACATGCGTACTGCTTCCATCAAGCAAATTCATCTGTTTGGCCTAGCTTCTGCCTAGCTCTCACATGCTTCTCCAATTCAGACCTAGGCTAGACCTTCAAGTAGGTCTTATCATCCAATCATTTATTAGCGGGGCATCTTACCGGGATTATGGCGGTAAGTGGCAGGGACTTAGCCCCGCATTGCTGGAAGGTGGCCTAGACTTTCACATGCATGTAACCGTTTTGGAAATTACATCTCCGGCTAAGTCACCGCTAGGTCTGGGTACAGGGGGGTGGGGTCGAGACTACAATTGACAATGTGTATTAGCCTAGGCAAGGGGAGGGCCTGGCCCTAGGCCAGGCTTACTTGCTACCTGGCCTAGTTTTGAGGGCTAGCAAGGACAGCTAGGCTGGGTTGCCCTTTGGCCTAAGCCTACCTAGATACCAGCTAGGACGGTCGTCCAAAAAACAAGGGCGACCTGTCATAACGTAAGCCAGACTGAGGCCAAGCTACAGTAGATAGGCTGGTGTAGGACTGTTTCGACCGCGATGCTGATGTATAAAACACATTTTTCTGTATATTGTATCATGTTTTCTGTCAATTTGATCAATTTAATGACATGAATAATAAATGTCCTAATACTATTAATAGGCTTAATATTATAATACAGTAAATATGCAACTTTTTAAAGTACAATAAAAATACTGCGGGAAAGGCAAAAACATTTTTAACGTATTTATGTCAATTTGACAAGGGAAGCCTAGGCCAGGCATAACATAGCCTAAAATGAATTTAAACGAGTGTAGTTCTAAGTAACATAGGCTCTTAAGAAACTTAAAATTCTGGTAACTGATATGATATTGCCTATTTTTCTGTAAAGTTATGTTAGTGTATACCATAAATGCTTAAAATAAGCACCACAGCGCTTATAAGAATTTTTAAGGTTTCAGAGCGGCACTTATTTGAAAGCAGCGCTTATAAAAAAATATTGGCTTGGCAGTTTCTGTGCCATTTCCCATGTGTTATCTATTTCACGTACTCCCGTAGAATTCAGTGAA